TAGAACTAGAGAGCATCATGTTAAGTAAAATAAGCTAGTCTCAGAAAGTCAAGGGTCATATGTTTTCTTTCATATGCAGAAGGTAGAAAGAAAAGTAAAAAAAAAAAAAAAACACCACAAGGAGCTGGGTGTGGTAGTGCATGCCTGTAATCCCAGCAGCTTAGGAGGCTGAGGCAGGAGGATCACGAGTTCAAAGCCAGCCCCAGCAAAAGTGAGGCATTAAGCAACTCAGTGAGACCCTGTCTCTAAATAAAATACAAAATAGGGCTGGGGATGTGGCTCAGTTGTTGAGTGCCCTTGAGTTCAATCTCCACCATAAAAAATCCACCACTTTTAAAAATAGAAGGAAGACAAATAGATCAAAGGAGATCAGAGGAAGTGGCTCAGGAAGAGGGAGGAGGAAAGGGAAAGAGGAGATATATACTGGGGGACTAAATTAACCAAATTGTGTTATGTGAACAGATGAATATATCATAGTGAATCCACTATTATGTATAATCATAATGCACCAATAAAAAATTCCCAATCTGATAAATCCCAATATTATATCTATCTATGTCTGAGTTTGTTTCTGATGCTTGTTCTTTCACCTGTTAAAATGTCTGGTAATATTTTATTGAAACTCAACATGATGTTCTGTGTATAAGAAAAATTCCAGTAAATTGTTCTTTAATGATGTGGTGAGGTGTGGGGAGCGGGAAGTGTTCTGTAGCCCTGGAATTAGGTCTCAGTCATTTAGTGGGCTGTAGCCTTCACTAACTAGTGCCTGTCAGTCTTCCCCTCCACCCCCTTAGTTGGGACAGGATGTCTAGACCAGGCATGAGTTAAACGTTTCTCTTCACCCAGATTAGTTAGGGCCTGATAAAATCTCAATAAATTCGGCTCTATTAAAGTAACTTCTCTTGAGGGTAGGCCTTGTTAAGAAAAATAGAATGCTCTAACTCATTTCAAGTGGTTACTTTCCTCTTCCCCTGCTAGAAACATAAGGAATCCCCCTCCACCCTGTTATTTACTGTGAACCCAGGAGAGCCTCTGGAGTAAAATTCGCAGAAGTATGGGGGCCCTTCCTTGGACTTTTGTGTTGTCCATGTTGAACCTCCAGTAATTTTTCATCGACAGTCCAGGTTTTCTTATCCATGTCCTATTTCCTGTGGAGGTTTCTTCTTGTGGATTTCTGCTCAGGTAAATGGTAATTTTCTGTGTCACCTACCTCTCTCCAGTTGGAGGCAGTGACTTCATGTGACTCACTTTCTCTGACAGGTTTAACGTGGTTTTCAGTTTGTTCATATTTTTACCTGCTACAGTTGTATGGTAGGTAGCTCCTTCCATGCCAGACCAGAAACCAAAAGTCCTGCCCCAAGGTTTTATTTGCTAAAGTTATTCTCAAATTTGGAAGAGTTTGGAGATGCCATTAAGTCCATTGGCACAAGAAATTGTTAAATTTGACCTGAAGTTGCCTCTATAGGTAGTGAATTTAATATGTAACCAAGCCTCAGCCCATCAAAAGCAGCAGTTGAGCTTTTAGCACATTGCCAAAACATGTCCAAGTAAAGCAAGTGCCTGGCTATAACCAATCAGGCTATTTCTGTGTGTGTCTTCCTTTTGTTTGTCTACCCTGCCCACGTCATTGGGTGGATCTCTCTGAACTTTTATTGATTCAGGATATGGTCCAATTCATTAATTGTCTTTTTTTCTCCAATACTGTTAAGTTTAATTTGTCTTCTGTTTTTTTTTCTTTTAATAAGATGTTTGACAACCTCCCTCTGCCTCTACCCCCCACACAAACATCTCCCTCCAGTCCATGGAAAGATGATTCCTGGTGAGCTTACTGACTCTTCCCATACAGAAAATTATTCATTCTACTTAAAAGTGTCCTAGTTGTTAGAAGATTCCTGTTACTCCCCTTTTTGGTTTTAGTTGTGCACTAAAATAGAGACAGCTTCACATGGAGAAAAGGAGCCATACAAGTTGTTGGCTCTTCCTGAAGGGAGGCAACCGCACTCCGGTCCCACTGGCAAGAAGGGACAACTAGATTGCATGGGGAAGTCAGAGACCTTCATGCCCACTGGAGATAGGCCCCATCTCTCAGGTTCATGTAGTTAGAGAAAGATCCCTGGACGGAGAGTTGAGTGTGATCTTGGAAAGGCTTCCTTCAAGAGGAAACCTGTTCTGGACCTTGAAGCATCATGAGGAGTCTTTGGCAATCTCACTGGGATTGGGAATTGGGGAGGGCAAGGTTAACAGGAGAAAGAAGTAAACAACAACAACAACAAAAAAAATAGAATTTGAAAACTATTAGAGGCAAAGTGAGACCAGTGACATCCATTGTTATGGTTTGGAGCTCACATGTGAGACAACGCAAGAAGGTTCAGAGGAGAAATGATTAGGTTGTAAGAGCCTTAATCCAATCAGTGGATTAATCCCCTGATAGGGATTAATTGAGTAGTAATGAAGTGATAGGGTGTGGCTGGAGGAAGTGTGTATTGGGGCATGGCTTTGGGGGATGTGTTTGTATTTGGCAAGTGGAGATCTCTCTCTCTCTCTCTCTCTCTCTCTCTCTCTCTCTCTCTCTCTCTCTCTCTGCTTCTGGATCATCATGTGAGCTGTTTCCTTCTGCCACACTCTTCCACCATGATGTCCTGCCTCACCTTGAGCCCTGAGAAATGGAGTCTACTGTCTATTGATTGAGACCTCTGAAACCATGAGCCCCTAAATAAATTTTTCCTCCCCTAAAATTATTCTGGTTCAGTTTGTTAGTCACGGTGGTGAGAATGCTGACTAAAACATCCATTGTCTCAGTACCAATTTGGGGATCCTACTTCCAACTGGAGATGAGTTCTAGGAAGGTCTTTAGTCATGTCTTGCTTTTCTTTTGGAGATTTTCTAATCTTTCTTTTTCTGTATCCAAGAAGTGGAAGAATCCTTGGAGATCATCCAGTCCAAACTTTTCCTTTACTCAGATAGGGAAATTGAGGCTTGGAGGTGGGAAGGGGCAGATTCAGGATGAATAAATAGCAGAACCCAAGCTTCCTACCTCCTAGCAACCATTTTCTTGGCAAGTCAATAGAGGTGATGCAGAGAATGAGAACACTCAAGCAGGCTAGGTAGAGAAAAAGATAGAGCTGAGGACAGTGATGAGCCTGATCAGGGAATTTGGGATGAGCCAAGAGGAAAGTGCTTTCCTTTGGCAGCCTATCCCCCACAGTCTACCCTACCTTCAACAGCTGGGCCAGCTAGGTGACCAGTATAGGCACACAGTATCCAGAACTGCCCTGCGCAATCTTGCTTCCTTGTGTTTTCTCCACTAGTGTTCCTCTGCCCATCTTTTTTTTTTTTCTTTTTTGGTGGTGCTGGGGGCACTCTACCAACTGGGCTATATCCCCAGCCCATCTTTTAAGATGGTTCAAATTCATAGCAGGAAGAACTTTTCCCATACACAAGCAGATTGTATGTTCATGTGCTATGGTATATATGTGTGATGTGCCTGGAGTGTGGTGGAGGGAGACTTTGTCCTGTCTTCCTGTTATCACTGAGATTGTTTGAGAACTCTTTTCTCAGCACTAACCTCAGGCAGCTGCATTTATTGTTTTCTTGGAGATGATAATGGTTTCTTCACTGATTAGAGTAGTACTCAAAATGCAACTCATGGTTTTTGCATGTAACTACTTTGCACTCTTGGATTGTGTTTGGTGCTTAAAAAAGAAAAGGCTCCTGTGCCTGACACACCTAGTAGTGCCTCCTGGGCTTGGCTGGTGTTGCATACTATCAAACACTAGGCATCCATAGGAGAAGAGGAAGTCCATCAGGGTTAAGAGGCTGGGTTAGGTTCTTGGCAGAGTTAATATGCAGGCTGTTTTTTTTTTTCTTAGTTTTGACTAATCACAAGATGTTTATTGACCAGACTGTTGTTCCTGGAGAGCAAGATGACTCAGAACAAAGGAGACAGATGCCAAATGAAGGCAGAGATGCAGGAAAAACTGAACAGTGGAAGTCCTTCTTACAGGAGTACTTGGCAATGGAGTACCAGGTTATGAATGGGAAATAAATAAGTAAATAGTTATGTCTCATGTGAATGCTTTCCAAAGAGGGACCTCAACAAAGGAAGCCTTCAATAGTCAAGTGTGCAGGACAACCTGCTTTCGCAGTGGCTAACAGTCAGCCTCTCTCCCTAGCAACCTGCGTCACCACCCAAGGAGCTCATCAACAAAGTGGCCATGGTGATAGGGATGGAGGTTATGCATGGGCTCAGCAACATGGATTTCCTCTCACTGAGGCCAACCTGGCCACAGCCGCTGCTGAGGGCCCCATCTGCCAGCAGTGGAGAATGGCACTGAGCCTCCCTGGGACATCATTTCTCAGGTAATCAGCCAGCCACCTGAGGGACAGGTGGATTACATTGGACCTCTTCCCTCATGGAAGTGGCAGCATGTTGTTCTTCCTGGAATAGATACTTTGGATTGGGATTTGTCTTGCCTGAACGCACTGCTTCCGCCAAAACCACCATCCATGGATTCATGGATTGCTGTATCCATCATCGTGGTGTTTCGCATAACACCACTTCTGACGTAGGAACTGGCTTCACAGGAAACAAAGTGCACCGAGGGCACATAGTCATGGAATTCATGGGTCTTTCTGTGTTGGGGATATTATCTCACTGCTTGTACTTCTCTCGCACATTCAATACTTAATTTGGAGCTCATTATCAGTGCAGACAGGTGCCTGGTTTCCCTGAGCTGCCTAAAATGCCTCTCTGTACAGACACGCCTCACTGTGTATTCAGGTCTTGGTTCTGGAATCAAGTTCTCACCAATCTTTCACTTTCACTAGAACAATGAATGTCCTTGAACATCATTCTTTGGAGCACACATGGGAGTGCCCCTAGGTTCCAAGGAGTGGGAGAAATTAATTTCCATTTCCATCTTCCTCATTACAGGTAAAGTGCATTGCTGCTTCTATTACTAAAAGACATGCATAATTCAAGTAAGGCTTTACAAACCCATTGGATGTCTAATGTAGAAGTCACCCTTTGTCCCAACATAACATGGCACCCACCACCACTATTTCTGTGATCCCCAGGAGATGGAGTCTGCAGGCTGGTTTTTCTTGCTGAAATAGGAGGACTTACCTTACCCTACACTGTCTAATGTGGGCTGGTGTCTAGAGCAGCCTCCTGTTTCTCGGAGACACTTGTCTCAGAATTTGGATTCTCTAGGAAATGGAAATGTTTGAGCTGGTGTGAATTGTTTAGGATGTTGCAATTGGAGGTGGGGCGGGTATGGCTACTGTAAGCTGTATTAATGTTTGGCTAAAGCTCAGGGCCCAAGAAACTGCTCTTAATTCCCCTTGTGATGCCTGCTCACAGTAAATAAAATAGCTTCAGATGCTACAAGCTAGACGGGATGATTTTTTTTCATTATATTCTGCTTTTCTCAGATCACAACTAGGGAGCTGTGTGACAGGTGTATCTAGGCAAGGCTGGATTAAACATTAATGCAGTTGTCACTGCTGTCCAAAGGAACAAGTGCACCAGAGCTAATCTCCAGAGTTACCTGAGGAGGGGTGAACAGCAGTCATGGCTCAATTTGCCCAGGTTCTAGCTGAAATAGGTGACTTTGGTCGCTTCCAGGTACAGTTGACGATCCTGATGAGTATCCCCAACTTCCTGTCCCCCTTCTATATGTTTAGCCAGGTCTTCATGGTCCTGGATGAGGCCCACTACTGTTCAGTGGCCTGGGTCAAGAACCACACTCTCAACCTGAGTGCAGCTGAGCAACTGACACTGAGCGTGCCTCTGGATGCTGAGGGCAGACCTGAGTCCTGCCTCATGTTCCGGCCACCCCCCAATAACGCCAGCCTGGAGGACATCCTCAGCCACTGCTTCAATGAGACACAGCCTTGTGAGACCAGCTGGCACTATCCTGAGGACAAGCCCCGATCGCTGTTGAACGAGGTAAGGCTGGCCTTGTGCCTATCTGTCCACTTGTCTTGGTCCCTCTGCCTGACCCTGCACTGACTGTTGCTGTCTCTGTAACTCTTCCTGTGTGGTTGACCATTTTTATGCCTGTTTTACCTTTTGCAGTCACCTCTTTTCTCTTTGTCCTCTGCCTGTTGGTCCATCTAGTCTCTATTTTCTCCGTATGGTCTGCCTGCCCAGCTCTCTGTTCAGTTTTGCCTGTCCTTTTGTCTCCAAGCTTGTCCTTCTGTCTGTCTGCCCAGGCACCTGCCTTTATGCCTGTGCCCTGTTTTCCTGTTCTGATGCTGCCTCTCTCTACCCCGTGTTCCTAGCTGTCTATTTCCCCTTGTCTTTCGGCTCACCCTTGCACGTCGGCCTGATTACCTGTCCTGTGCTTTCCTAACTCTTAGATTGTTGCTTTCTCTGTCCACTTGTTTTCCATCCTGCTTGCTTGACTTGGCTTCCTACTTTCCGGCTTCTCTCTGTAGGCCCCTGCCTCTGGGATGCTGGAGAACACTCTCGACTCTTAAGACTCATCCTGTGGATAATTAAGCACTTGCTCCTACTAACTTCATTCTCTTAGGAGAGACTTGGGTACATTTACAGAAAGATGCTCCCTCTAGCCACTTCGGAGCAAGAGGGGCCCTCAGAAACATCTAGCTCCTTCCTGTGTGGCTTCCCGGGTGGTAAGGTTTAGACACAGAGTCCCTCTCCAAGGACCTCTGGTGGTCAGGGAAGACCTGGACCCCTTGTACTGGAGTAGAGGGCTAGGTGGCCTCTGAGACCCAGAATTTGCTTTCTCCTGAAGACAACTTTCTAAATGAAGTGTTAATGTGAGCTGGGCAACAAGATGCTCAAAAATGTTGCCAGAGAAGAGTTTTTTTTGCAGAAAGAGTATCAAAAGAAAGGCCTGGCAGCCAGAAACAGGTGGTTTTCAAGGTGTAGGTAACTTGGTGTGCCTGGAATATGGGTGGTAAATGTAAACTAGGATTTGTAGGGGATATTTTCAAGGATCTGGCACCTGTTTTGCTGTTGCTATTTGTTAAAAAGTAACTTCCCCTTTAAAAAACCAGCAAATGACAAACAAATTTTCTTGATTGCTACCTGAGTTTCATCAAGCACTGGATCTACTCAAGGGGGAAAAGAAAAGGCACCTGTCAAGGAATGTTATAGTTTGGATCTCCAATGTCCCCCAAGGCTCATGCTTTGAAGACCTGGCCCCCAATGCAGTTCAGAGGTATAACTTTGGGGAAGTGATTGGGTCATGAGGGTTCTAAACTCATTAATATTCTAAACTCATTAATGTTCTAAACTCATCAATGTCCATTGATGGATTCCTAACTAAACGACTCCTATGGAATGGTACAAACTGTAGGAAGTGGGACCTAGTAGAAGGGAGTGGGTCCTTGGGGGCATGCCTTAGGGATCAAGAAATAAATGAGTTTGCTCCACCACATGACCCTTATCAGAACACTCTGCCTCACTACAAGCCCATAGCCATGAGTCCAAATGACTGAAACCATGAGCCACAATAAATGTTTCCTCCTTTAAGTTGATTTCCTCAGGTATTTTGTCATAGCAGATGGAAAATTGACTAACATGAGGAATATATTAATAAATGACAGCACACACCTGAAGCCCTTCTTTAGCTACAGGAGGCTCCAGGGCAACTAATATTACTGTGTCTAACACATTGATTAGGCCTTTCCATGTGAGTGAGAATACCCCATTTGACAGCCCTTTGGTCAAGGACAGCTTTTCTGAAGTCTTCTATTTGCTCTTGGCAAATTTCTCAATAGGAGAGGGGTCATCTCTGAGATCAATCTGTGTCTCAACAAGCAAGATGGTAGATGCATTATCTCAGGCACCCCATTTTCTTTTACTTCTAGTGAGGTCAGAGACCCCTGAAAAACAGAAAAGAAACACTTTCATTTGTGGATGTTCAACTGCCATAATCTCTCATAATTGGCTTGTCCTACAGTGTCAAAAAGGTCAAGAGTCTATGGCTCTCCACCAATCCGGTAACTGCATACTTTTCAAAAACAGCACATACTCAGGTGGAGATTTGTTTGTTGTGTTGGAGTCAAGGTTCCCAATGGCACTATGGCTCCCAGCAACACACTCAGTGGTCTGCCTCACTGAAATTGTTTTGTATCCACTTGATCCGACGTGCACAGACCTGAAACTGACTTCAGCTTCTTCAACAACCTGTGGGCAGCACTCAGAGGCCTCAATTCAGCCTCAGTCAGCAGCCTAGTCCATGTTGGCTGGGTTGGGCCTTGGACCTCTTACCCTCCCACTTCCAACCCTTCCAAGAACTGTGACTCTCAAGGGAATGTACAACATTGGGACTTTGTGACCTGTGCCACAGGACAATCTAAGCTTGGTTCTAGAGCAGAGCTCCCTTGGAATGAGATCTTCTGCTTCTGCTTTTTTTTTTTTTTTTTTAATCTATGAAAAAGAGCTCTGCACACTGATGCAGAAGGTCCTCTCTAAGTAGACACCCCAGTGTCCTTAGTATAACCTGTGGCTTCATATTCAAACCAAAATAAAAACCACAGTAATCTGAAAAGAAAAAACATGTTTCCTTAAGGCTACATGCCCTTGAAGGTCATAGTACCTGTCTATTTCTTACCTTATCAGTGTAATATTTCCTGGCTCTGTCCATATAGAACTCTGAAGGGGAGGGAAACAGACTGTCAACGAATAGCAGAAACAGTAGCACTTTTCCTGGGATTGTGGACAACGTTGGAATGGCAAAGAATGAGAATCAGAAAAAACAGTCATTTTTAGGGTCTGGAGGTATAAAAATGTCTGGCATCTTTGAGGAATACTCAAAAAAAGAAGTTTGGAAATTCTTGTAGGGTTACAGGTTCAGTGCTGAAGAATATGGGATTTCTGCTAGAGATCCAAGAGGGCCTTGAAGGTTTTAGAATAAGGAAGACATGCTCTAGAAATGAGGGTGGAATTCTGCAAGTCACTGTGGCTGTCCCTGAGCAGAACCAAACACTATTGGTGTTAGGGCTGGGGAGGTGGATAAATGGCATCCCAAGTGCAGTCCTCTTCATCTCTGCGCCATTTGCAACATGATGACACTATGTGAGTTTGGGTGTACTTTGGCACCTCTCCAAGACACAGTCTCTGCTGCTGCTGAACAATGGACTAAGTGTGAGAATTTAATGATATAAGGGGTATAAACTATAGGGAGGTAGTAGAATTGTGACTAGTGACCAGAGGTGCCAGACTTGGAAGACCCCCATAGCTTGGCATTCATGCCTGCAGAACACTGTAGCCTTGAAAGCCTGGTGAGCACAGGGCTAGTGTAGCCATCCTACAGAGCTTTACTGAGCGCAGCCTGTATAACAGCCACCAAGCCAAGTATGTCACATGTGTTACTTCCTTTAATCCTATCAGATGATACATACCATATAGCAGGTTTTATCACCAACTTTGTACACGTTGGAAACCAAAACACAGATGGATAGACTAACAGGCTCAAGGTTACACAAAGTCACTCAGTTCTGACCCTAGAGCTTGGCAGTTGCAAGCCTTTATTTATTTTAAATGGTATGTTACTACAAAGGCAATCCATAGTTACTAGGCAAAAACAAACAGGATGGACCAACAGTTAAGAGCCCTTCTGTGTCCCATGTCATTCTCAGGGGTAATCAGTTAATCATTTGACATCTACTGAAAGTCCTTAAAAATTAACAGTTGTCCTTGAGAATGGAAGTGTGAGCACAGTGGTAACTCCTGGATTGGTTAATTTCTTGCTAAAGATTATTTAACTGATAGTGATTGACTGGTCATCGATGTGCTGGCCTTGGTTCCTTTGCTCGTTTTCAGCAAACATTCCCTTAGACTCCACTCAGTTTCATTCCCTGTCTAGACAATAGAAATGTGTCAGTTACACCAGCTGCCATCCAGCTGTGGGATGTAGGATTAGCTGCTAACCTCCCTCGGAGGAAAATAACAATAAGTCAGTGGCTGTTGTGGCAGTGATCTGAGGTAATACGTGTAAAGCGCTTAGCACCCTGTGCATGGCACAAAACAGGCACTCAAAGGCATCCTCACAGGAGGGAAGCTGGAGGAGGGTTCACATGGCACGTTCCCCTACAAACACTCATGTGTAAGCTGAGTTGTGTGCAAAGGGTGCAGAATGCCCATGAGGGAGTCATGTGTACTGTACGTGCACATGTAGCGGACATGTGTGCAGAGCTGTGTGGATCCACGTATTTTTTCCACTTCATTTCCTAGACTGTGGATTAGGCTGTCTCTAAGTCTCCAGGTGGGTTGGCAGCTTTTGCCCAGATGTATCTCCCACCCCGCCCTCCCACTATGTGTATATGTTCCTCTGTCCCAGTCAGGTGTGTGTGAATGTTCCTTATTGCCTGTGTTTGGTGAGTGTTTCAGGGGATTTTGCAGCCAGATGAGAAAATTTGGAGAGGCCCAAGTGGGTCACAGGGATGCCTGAGCTGAGGGGAAGAGACCCTACTTACTTGTCAGGATGCAACCATCAGTGGTAGATCATAGGCTCTCAAATTTTATATCCTTAATGTGTCAGGGATTATACATGGTACCTTTAGGCTAAAAGAAATATGGTTCTATGTATTGTTAAGTCCAAAGAATAACACGTGTTTATGTCCTAACAATTTACTAGTGGTTTGAAAGAATAGTACACCTAAATTCAAAGAAAAAACATTTTATTTCATTCTTAAAGAAAGGCAACAACTTATTAATGGGATGTATGTGGCTCCTGAGCACACATAGTTTCCAAGCCCTTGGATACTGCTAGGTCCATTTTTGGTTCCCTGCTGATTTGTACATGGTTTACTTTTTTGTTGTTGTTGTTGTTGTTCCACAGCTATTACCCAAAACAGGACTTCACAGAGATATGATGTCATTGACAGAAAAGTAGGGTGATCTCATGTTGAAGTACAAACTTATCCTGGGCTGGTAGTTTTGTGTCATGTCAGACAGATGTCAAATATCACTCTATTTATTTCCCTTTGAATATACTCTGCTGTGCCCAGTGAGTTCACTGTAGTACCCTGGAGTACCTTGGAACACAGTTTGGAAATCATAGACACGATCCCTAAAAGAGAGGTTAAGGGCTAGGTGGTGAAGAACTTGCCCTCAGCACTTCCCCCAGACTCACATCTGCCTGTATTTGCTTCAGTTCAACCTGGTGTGCCATCGGAAGCACCTGAAGGAGACCTCACAGTCGGTGTTCATGTCCGGACTCCTTGCTGGGGCCCTTATCTTTGGGCCCCTCTGTGACTGGTATGAACCTTGACCCGCTCTCCCCTGACCTAGCATGTGTTTAGACTCCTTAGGGCCCAAGTTTCCCCGAGTGCCCCTCATGCCGGCCTCCAGGAAGAGGCCTGGTTCCCACCACCCTCCATGGGGCTCCCAGAGAAGGGCCACGTCTCCTCCCTCAGACAGCCCAGGTGAGGCCTGTGGGGTTTTACCTGCTTCCTCCCCAGCAGGGCCCCTTCCCTTACCACACACAGCTCTGCTTCTTTACCTCAGGATTGGCCGCAAAGCCTCTCTCCTGGTGCAGCTGCTCCTGACTGCCTTCGTGGGCCTGGCCACGGCCTTTGTGCCCAGCTTTGAGTTCTACATGGTCCTGCGCTTTGCTGTGGCTACCGCTGTCTCTGGATTTATGATAAGCACTGTTACCCTGCGTGAGTACCCTGCCTGTGGGAGCCTTGTCAGGCACATACCTTGCCCATACCTGAGGCAGTCCCAGGGGAGCTTCTCGTGCAGGGACTGAGGCCTGAGGACTGAGGACATGCTGACCTGGCAGCATCTAGAGAGTGGCAGGGAGTGAAGGGGCAGGGTGTGGCCCAGTCTCAGCTTTTCTGTCCCCACAGTTTCAGAGTGGGTGAGCCCCTTGTGGAGGACTCGGGCTGTGATCCTGGCCCAGTTCACCTTCGCCTTGGGACAGATGGTGCTGGCAGGACTTGCATATGGTATCCGCAACTGGAGGCTCCTTCAGATTGCTGGCGCTGTTCCTTTTTTGCTGTTCTTCTCGTACATCTGGTGAGGAGCCACTTGCCAGGAGCAAACCACCCCTAGGCCAGCTTTGTGGGGTGGAATGCAGTGATCACACTCACCTCCTGGGGCGGTCGGAGGCTGGCCTGGGAGAGGAAGTCTCCAAGTATGGAGGTGCGGAAAGGCTAGGAAGGCTCCACGGGACTTCAGACCCCAAGGTCACAGCTGCTCCTGGTCAACAGGATTCTGCCAGAATCTGCTCGGTGGCTCCTCACCCAGGGGAGGATAGAGGAAGCCAAACAACTAGTTCAGAAGGCAGCCTCAGTCAACAAGCGGAAAATCTCCCCAGAGCTTCTGGACCAGGTACTTCCAGCAGGCCAGGGCTTGTCCCTGCCCCTGACGCTGACCCCCAAAGAGCCTCTGCATGACCCCTCACCCTGCATCTTCTTTCAGTTGGCCCCAGAGAAGACAGCCTCCTCAGGGAATGCCTTGGATCTTTTCAGACACCCCCATCTCCGGAAGGTGACCCTGATTCTCATCTGTGTCTGGTGAGTTGCCCAGGGCTCATGCCCCTTCCTGAGGACAGTGCCAATACGCTGCCCCTTCCATGGCCACTTTTCCCGTGTGTCCACCAAGTGGTGGGATGGTAGCTCTCAGGCTGTGTGCTCTCTCCCTAGCTGTGCTAGTTTCTCCTTTTGTGACACTGACCAAGGCAGGCTCGTCCTCTGGATGTGATGGTGTTGAACACTCAGCAATGACAGGAACCCTTGGGTGCCTTACAGGTTTGTGGACAGTCTTGGGTACTATGGCCTCAGCCTCCAAGTGGGAGACTTTGGCCTGGACATCTACCTGACACAGCTAATATTTGGAGCCTCTGAGGTGCCTGCCCGCCTTCTCAGCATCTTCATGATGGAGAAGTTGGGACGCAAGTGGAGCCAGATGGGGACTCTGATTCTGGGTGGCCTCATGTGTATTATCATCATCTTTATCCCAGAAGGTATGACTGGATGTTTCCCTCCCTCCCTGACCCCTGCTGCAGGGGCTGGACCAATGGCCATCACTCTCCTGTCGGGAGTAAAGGTTTCCCCAGGGTTTGGGTACAGAAGAGGTGAGGAGTTTGGGTGGACAAGGTGGCGGGCAGGGCCCAAGTGGTGGGTGGCCTACTTTACGTGTGGTTGACCAGCATCTTCCAGCAGATATGCCCTTGGTGGTCACCGTGCTGGCCGTGGTGGGGAAGTTCGCCACTTCTGCTGGCTTCACCATCTCCTACTTGTACACTATTGAGCTCTTTCCCACCGTCGTCCGGTAAGAGCTGCTGATATGACTCTTGCTTTTCTGCTTCTAGGGCCTTGATTTTGGCCAGTCCTCTGCTACCCTCACCACCAGCCCACAAATAGTTAATGAGGCTGGTTCTGGGTCCCTGACAACCAGAGCTGTAGTGCAAGTCCTCAAGTATCTCCAGGCTGGCAGAGGACAGATATGGATGTAGGCCATGGCCTGGCCTTGTCAGGACAGGAATGTGGGAGAAATTTCAGAATGAATGACCCAGGAGAAGAAACACTCAGATGAGGGAAGGGGTGGTTGGGAGCCATAGCCTTTGACCTTAGAGGGGGACAGGTCACACAGGGAACAGGCAGACAGGGAGGCCTGGAGGTGGGAGGTACATGCAGGGGCAGGAGCACTAAATAAGCCAGAGGAGACTGGAGACCCTGCTGGCCTTTGGCTGGGGGTGTGGGGGGGTGCTACAATTAGGGGTCTGGGGGTAGAGCTGTGGCCTCAGGTTGAGGCCTATTCTGCTCAAATTTTACTGGCCTTCCTGCAGGCAAACAGGCATGGGGCTGGTGAGCATCTTTTCAAGAGTAGGTGGCATTCTCACACCACTTGTGCTCCTGCTGGGCGAGTACCGCAAGGAACTCCCTATGCTCATCTACGGCAGCTTCCCCATCGGGGCAGGTATACTCTGTATTCTGCTGCCAGAGACACGTGGCCAGGCCCTGAAGGACACCATCCAGGACCTGGATCAGGGGCCCAGCACACGGTGAGCAGCTTTCTAGCTTTGAAGCCCAGGACCTGGGCCCCACATCAGAGGCCCCTCTACCAGAAACCCAGACCTCCTCTTCACCATTAGTCCATCATTGCTTAGAGGCCAATATGGATCCCTGTGGAACCACACATCTTACTGACCTTGGGTCAGATTTCCCGTATTTTCAGGAGGGAGATGGTGAGGGGTGATGCCATGGGACCAATTTCTGGACAACAACGAGAGCCTTCTTTTCCCTGCAGATCTCCGACGGCAGTGCCCCCAGAGAAAGAAATGGACGCTACGGGAAGAAGTTCTACTCTAGGGGTGACCACTGTGAGCAGCACAAATTTCTGATTGTGGTCTCTAAGAATCAGACCACCAGCAGCAGGAAGCTGCCTACACATCCCTTTGTGTCCCCAAGAGGACACAGATGAGCCTTGTTTATAGAGGAGCGCACAGGACATGGCCCCAGCTCTCTGCCACTGCTGAGTCCAATCCTGGAAGCATCTGGGACAGGACTTCCCTCCTTCCTTCACCTCTCTCATTCCCAGAGCCCCACTCCAATGCCCCGAGTTAGGGTCTTGGGTGTGTCATGGGCTTCATTTGTTCTCTGATAGTTTGTGGGGCTATGGCATCCTGGTCCCTCAGTCTGGAGCACCCCCTGCCCCCCAAACTCAGTCAAATCCAGAGCAGAGCACTAGATAGGGCCTTTCTGAGTAGTGGGATCAAGTGGAGAGGAAATAAATTTTGAAGTTGTGGACTCTAGGCAGCAGGTAGATAAAGGGCTGTCGATGAGGAGAAGGTTGTAGTTTCTTCCAGTGGCTGGACCAGGCCCCTCTGGCTAAGGTGCTAGGACCTTCAATCCTGCTAAGAGAAGACTGTCCTATATTCTCTTTGAAGTTGCCCCATCCCCTGCCCCACACTTAGCTCTTGCCTAACCTACGTGAGGCTCAGGGATGAGCTCTGCAGAGGGAGACTACATGGCTCTGCCCCTACCCACTGTGCTCTGCTGCTTCTGGCTCTTCTAGGGCCCAGGCAGGGAAAGGAGAAGGACATAGGTCTTTATACTTGGCCACCAGTCACTGTTTCCAGGTTTCTACTGATCTTCCAGTGCATTTTGACAGGCTTCTTACCTCTGGCTCTTCCGTGGGGCCATATTCATGAGACTTTCAGAGATCTTCTCTGGGCCACTGTGTTGTTCCTTAATATGAGCAACCTTCTCTTTAGACCCTTCTTCAGTTCCCACCCTAGCGTTGTTCCATATAGTATTACTGCTGGCATCCCCAGACTTTAGAAGACCACCTTGTTGGGTGGGGGACTCCCAGCAAGCTACTTCAAGCCAGGTTACCTTCCCCAGCATCTGTTTGGCCCACAGAACACCATGTATCATTGCTCCACCAAGTGGTGGAAAAAGAGCTTGCTCATTCATTTTCCCCAGTCCTTGCTCCAGCTCACCTCCTGCCAAGAAGAAGATTTTAGTTTTTTTTCTCACAGGCACCCCTTAGAAGGGTTTTGTATTAGTCTTTTTTCCATTACTATAATGAGATACCTGAGACTGGGTGATTTCATGAAGAAAAGAACTATATTGAGCTCACAATTCTGGAGGTTTAAGGGCATGGGTGTGGTAAGGGCCTCATGGCAGATGGCATTGCAGTGGCAGGAGTGTGGGGGAGAGTGAGAGATCACATCACAAGCCAGAAAGAGCAGAGGGGCCACTAAGCCCCATATCTGGAAGGTGTTGTCATCTCTCACATTGCCACACTTTGGCCCAAGATCCCAAAACATGAACCCTTGGTGGGGACGGCACTGAAACCATTTCCAAACCATGGCAGGTTCTTCCAGAAACTTCCTCCCTTGCATTCAACTTTTCTTATATAATGTACAGAGGTGGTCAGTGATGGACCAGTTCTTTGTGCATCCAGCATGGAAGTGTCCAGAGCCTCTCTTTCAAATACATGGATATTTCATACAGTTTTGAAGTGATGGGTAAAAGTTCTGTTCAACTTCCTACAGCATACAAACTCATCAAATACCAAGCTAAACTCTCCTTGTAGGGACACACAGAGTCTTCCTTGATATAATGAGCCACCCAGGTTGAAATTTCCAATATGTGATGGCAAAACAAAACAAAACACACCCTGAATAGATTTAGGGAAAGGACCATTTCAGAGTTGCAGGGAGTTTCCTCCCTAAGATTCTGGACACATGCTCCTCAAAGGAGGCAAAGTGCTTGTCATTCCTGGAAGAGCCTTAAAGGGGACCCTTTGTTGACACCAGTGTAAATGCAGAGATTCACCTAATGCTTTTGGGAGTCTTTCGGGATTTTTATTTTTAGGAATTATGGGTGCTTGGAGACAAAAGATCTTTCTCTATGTATTTATAAGTATCCCCAGGCTTGTTCTGGTTAGTGGGTAAATGTTTGTCTTTTTGCAGTTGCTGATGGGAGGTCACTAGCTGGTACCTGTCGGACGCCTGATCTCGTCTTAGCCCTGAGGAGCACAGCAGAAAGGGGATCTCACTGTGCCAGGCAGTGGCCAGCATATGCCAAATGGTGGCTGTCCTCCAGAGGGTGTTATTGAATACAGAACAACCCATATTTATGGCACATACTAGCAATGAACCTACCAATATTATGGTTGGTTTTGTAGGGGTTGGTGCAGGACTCAGATCTCAAGCCTAACTGGCAGGAGTACCTCCCATTCTGGGTCTCAGCCTTCTTATTTTAGAATGCTAGCATGTATGAGACCCTGGGTTCAATCCCTAGCACCCCACAAAAAAGAAAAAGAATGGACAATTTCATAGGTCCCTTTGCACAAATCCTCCAAGATTATAATATTGGGAGCCCTGACTGGGCATGGAGAGCAAAGGAGTCTAGCAATCTGCCCTTGTCAGGGGGACCTCTGAAATTAAAACTACCATTCTTCTCATCTTGTGTTCTCTGCTTCCATTTCCAAAGCCTAAGCTGTCCCCATACTTCCCCAGCCAAACTGCCCCTCTACCTTGACACTGTCCCCTATAAACTATCTTCCACCTCACCCAGTTCTACCCACAGGTACAACTTGTATATGTTAGTCAGCTTTGTGTCACTGTGACAAAATACTGGAGGAAAAAAATTACAGGAGGCAAAATTTATTTTGGTTCATGGTTTTAGAGGTTTTAGTTCTTAATTGTGGGCGTGTGGTAAGGCAGAGGAAGCATGTGGCAGAATAAAGATACTTACCTGACAGCAGCCAGGAAGCAGAGAGAGAAGAAACAGCTGGGGACAAGCTATCGTCCCCAAAGGCACATCCCAAAGCACTGGCTCTCTTCAACTAGATCACACCACCGATAATTCCTTCATCTCCCGATAATGCCATCAAGTCACAAATCCAACAATGGATAAATACATTGATGAGGTTAAAGCCCTCGTGATCCAATCACTTCTCCAAATTTCCACCTCTGAACATTGCTGCACTGGGGACCAGGACTTTGACATAAGTCTTTGACAAAAGTCTTCATATTCAGACCATGACACTGTATCTCTGGAACTGCCACTCAAAAGCCAGCAGATGTCCCCACATCTTCAGCCCTTCCTGGAAGGTTTTGCATCCCCAGCCTCTTCCTCTGACTCTGAGCTTGCTCACAGCTGGGGAGCTGTGGGAAAGGGCTCTTTACTCTCCACTACTTCTCCACCATTATGTCCCCGCCTTCTTGTAAATCCCCTGTTGTGGTGGCCTCTTTCTCTCCCTTGCTCCCACCTCTTGACCTCCAGATCACACAGTCCGATTCATCTAAAACTCGTGCCTGGTTCAGTCACCCCTTCTCCTCCAGAGCTGCCATCCTCATAGGAAAATCCCTCTCCACCTCCAATTCTTAAAGACATTTCTGGCATATAAATGAAAAGATGAATGGCCCTCTAACTCAGACGTCTTGCCTTCTGACCACTGCATTCCATCTTGGTCTCTTTGTCTCATTCCCAACTGACCTAGCCATCGAGGGTTGCCACAGCAAAATATCATAAGACATTTCCTTAAAACCAGAAATTTATTTTCTCAAAGTTCTAGATGCTAGAAGTCCAAAATCAGGGTGCAGCATGATTAGGTTCTGGTGGGGGCCCCCTTCCTGGCTTGCAGATGGCCACCTTCTCTCTATGCCCTCACACAGACTTTCCTGGGTGCATGTGCAAGGAAAGGAATTTTTCTCTCTTTTTTTATGAGGCCACTAATTTCATCTGGAGGATCCCACTCTTATCTATGACCTTATCTAACCTTAATTAACTCCCCATGGTCCCATCTCCAAATACAAGAACATTGGGGGTTAGGGTTTTGATATGTGAATTTGGAAGCAGGGGAAGATACAAGCATTCTTCCTATAACACTATCTTTGGTTTCATTGGGGCCCTCTGGTCTGCTGACCCTTTGCTTTCTCCCTACCTCTCTCTGTCCTCTCTACTCAGATGAGAGAATGGAGCCAACCTTTTAATTTCTATCGAGAGAGAGCATTTCCATCTCTGGCCCTACACTTTAGTTCTTTTACCCTGTGGTTGTTTCCCACTAGCAAAACCACAGCAGCATATAAGCTCAATTATCTGCCTGCTCTTTCTCTGCACCCCCGACCACTGGTCATTGCTAGAGAGTCACATGCTGGCCAAGTCTATTTTCCATGGATTCATGGTTGCCAGCCTCAACCAGATCTGTAAGGGCCCAGGACCCCTAGCTAGCTTGCTTTCCATCTCCAATGGCCATTTCTAACCTCCACTGGGTGTGCTTCCCATCCTCCACTTCCTCACTGAAAGCACCTTCTCCTCCTTTTAGAAATAGGGAGCCACCATGTGGCCATTCCCTAGACTGCCCACCACCTAATCTTTCACCTGCCGCTCAATGTTCCCTGCTGCTGCATGAAGGGAACCATCGTGCACAGAGATGGCAGTGACACCACTAAGGGCAAGGCCCTTTCCTCTGCTCCCCCCTCCAACCCCCCTCCCAGACCTGGGAGCTGCTGAAGGCAGGGCCTTTTCCTTATCAGTCTCTCTTCTCTATGACCCCCCATCTTAGGCAAGGGGTCTGGGCAATCAGGCGAGTTTGTGGGGACCTCTGAATTGAATTTGCTTTTGCCCCCAACTTTCCTTTGAGGTGAGAGATTTCAGCTCCTGAAGTTTCTCCTGATCCCACTGGTCTGATGAGTCATTGGCTCTCAATCAAGCCAGGATCACCACTGGCCAGAGAGTCCAGGCCACTTGCCTACAGAGGGGCCTGGGACAGGCCTTGACAGTCATCTGTATTGGGACTGGGAAATGTCTAGCTTCCAAGTTCCCAGGACATGGCCAGGGTCTTCCTGGTGCTGACCTTTCCCCTGCAGGTGGAAGTGGTGGCCTCCCCAGTGCCTGGTTGCTTCCCTCCTCAGAGATTTCAGCAATGAGGACCATCAGTCCTGAGCATTCAGCCCAGGTGAGTGGAAAGACCCTGATATTTACTAACTTTCTCAGTCTCTGATCAAGAAAAAAAAAATGACCTCATGATTTTTAAGTATAGATAATTAACATCTGTTGCTAGTATGAGTAAACTCACATGTGTAAGAAATAGTATGTTTCTTTGGATTATGCACTTCTGCCTCACTGAGCTGATGGAACATTCTGTCCAGAGACTGGGCCAAAAGACGGGGGTCTGTTATAACCAGAACAAAGGGGACTCCTCACCCTGGTCATCAGCCTCATGGAAGACTGGTAGGTGCCACCTGCTTGGTCCCTTTGGCCCTAGCAGTGCTGCTAGGGGAATTCAGAGGAGGCTAAGGGGACTAGGACCAGCCGTTCAGGTGACCCACAGACATCAGGGAGGCCTGGTAAAAGAGGGAGGATTGCAGTGACTGCCCCAACACAGGAAGACTGAAGCCAGAAGTAAATCTCAAAGTCACTGGAGGGAGGTTTCCCCGTGATTAATATTTCAATGGCTTTCCTCAAATATAGGGAAATCTTCAAAAAGTGTTTTTAATGTATTTTGGTGCCCCAGTTTTGCCAGCATCCGGAGTACATGCTGCGTTTCCGATCAGGGAATCAAGCAGCCCTGGATTTCAGCCTTCCTTGCTGTTCCTGTCTCTCTGGGCCCTGTGCTGGGCAGTGGGCAGTGGAGAGAGCAGGGCACGTGGGGGCGATGTCCTGCTTGGCTCAGACTGTTCAGAGATACCAAGCTTCTCTTCTTCAGCAAGGGTTCTTCAATTCCCCTGTAGGGCCTGCCTCCTAATGGGCCCTATGCTGATTCCCCACCCATACTCCACACCAAGATTAGAACCATGATCCCACAAACTGGCAGAGGAGGCTTCTGGCTCATGGGAAAGTGGTTCAGAGACAGGTGGCTCTGACCAAGACTGGTTGGCTGGGGTGTGTCCCAGACAGAGCAGAGGTGTTGGGGGCAGGGACAAGCTGTTCCCAGCTGTGGGATCAGGAAGGCTTGAAGGACAGCTGACAACCAAGTGGTATCTCGACAGATGGGAGAATTTCCCTCAGTGGAGGTAGGGCCCTCCTGGGAGGGTGGACGTTGCAGGTACAGGAAATACTTTGCACAAAGCCATAGAGCTGGTTCATGTGCACAATCTGTCTTGTCCCATTCTGTCCCTAGGGGCTGTGCCAGTTGTGCCCCTGGAATAGAATGCTGCCCTCACCATTCCCAGCCCACCCTCTCCACCCCATTATGACACTATCCCTTAGCCACCGATGGAACCCAAGGGTTCCGCTCCCAAGGGTCTGGCTGGCCTGGACTGTGGTCAGGTGGGCCCTGGCTTTGGCTGTGGTCCTATCTCCAGGGAGGAGGGCCTGGGAGGGTGTGGAGGGTGTCAATTATGATAACACCCGGCAGTTGTGGGGCCATGTTTTCAGCGCAGATGTGGACAGGAGCCTGCCTGGGCCTGTTCGGCTGTGGGGAGTCTGTGGAAAGAGCAGGCTGCCCTCACGGAAAGCGTGAGTTCTCAGGCGTGGCATCTGGCCATTTCCCGTCCTCAGGTGGAGTGCTCCTCCTGGCCATACCTCTTCTAGGCCTCAGCTTCCTTTGTATGTTGAGAGCCAATTGCCTGGGGCCTGCCCACCTGGCAGAGGACTGTTGGGATCAGTTCAGGGAGGGGGGCTCTGGGGCCTTGCAGACTATCAGCCTCTGTGGGTATTCAGGTGGTGCGAGGGAACACTGAAAGGGACCCTGCATCAGGAAGCTGGGACAGCTGGGGCTGTTTAGAAACCAGATCTGTTAGGTTCCCTCCTGGTTTCCCTGGGCAGTCTCCTTCACCCACCTCCTCCCCTCTGGTCTCCACCCAGTGCCTTGGTTTTCTATGGTCCCTGTAACACACTCACACTTGCTAGCTTAAGACAACACACATGGATACTTTGTAACACCAGGCTCTAGTCAAGGGGTCAACAGGGCTGTACTCCTTTCTGGAGGCCCTAGGGGAGACTATTTCCTGACCTTTTCCAGCTTCTCCAGGCTGCTGCCTTCCCTGGCTCATGGCCACCTTCCATCTTCAAAGCCAGCAATGGCCAGTGGAATCTTTTGAATGCTGCCTCTCTCTGATTCTGACCCTCCTGCTGCTTCTTCCACATACATGGGACCCCAAGATTACCTTGGGCCCCCTTGGCTAATCCAGGATAATCTCTTTGTTTTAAAATCAGACCATGAGTAACCTTAATTTCATCTTCAGCTTCAGTCCCCTTGTCACGTAAGTTGACATATTCACGGGTTCTGGGGACTGGGATGTGGACATCTTTGGCATGATCAATCCCCAGCCAACTAACTCCACTCCTATATCCAGGCATGTGCGCTCTCTGCTCCTCCTTCTATTCTTATTGATATCAAGGAATTCCAGACTCTGGGGCTGGGAAGGAGATGTAGCCAGTGAAAAAGGAAAGAATGATGCCAGGCGCCTCATGTTGGCAAAAATAAGAAATAGCATGACCCATGCCGAAGCAGAGTGGCTCCTCAGTCTGACGAAGTGGACCCTGTACAGCTTTACCATGTGGGCATACCATCCCATTGGCCAGAATTTACAAAGAAGATGCTGAATTTATGGGAAATCTGTGAGCAGCTAATTCACTCTGTAAGCCAGAGAGAGGCATCCATGGGGACTAGCCAAAGGACAGGTGTCTGCAGGCTGGATTTGTCCAGTGGGCAACAAGCTGGAGACATCTTGCCTGGATTATGGAATAGAAGAGTCATGGTCTGGGAGGGAGGCAGCCTTCTAGTGTGGCTGGTAGGAAACTAGGGGGAAAGGGATGTGTACTTGAGTGTGTGTCCAAGCAGAGAGCGAACTCCTCTCCATTCCTGTCTACTCTGTCCCAGAGTAGAGTGCAGGGCTTACTGTGGCTCCTGAAAGTGATCCTAGCCATAGCTGGGATGAGCAGGGTAGCATGGTAACATGCTAGGTGAGGACCACATGAGGGCTGATGACCAGATTGGGCCACTCTTCAAGGGCCAGGCTTAAGGGGATAGATTTGGTGTGTGCAGCTTGGTCTTCCTACAGCTTCTCACCCTCTGGCCCCACAACTGTGCAAACCCCAGCCAGGCAAGAGCCCCTGGGTCTCAGCCAAGACCCTTCTTGAAAGACCTTTCTGGAGAAACCTTCCTGGATGACAGAGAGTCTGCAGGGAGATTGACAGAAATGAGAGGAAGAGATGCCCAAGTTCATCATCTGAACTCTGTCTCTGTGTATCTTATTCAGTACTCAAGAAACAAGTTTCTATTAAACTAAAGGCCAGAGCACAGGACAAGTATGAACACATGTAAGGATGTCCCTTCAGAGGACCTGGCCTGACATTATAGGTGTTCAGCCTCCATCAGAATAAAAAGAAACAACAAGGACAGAGATGGGACAGTGTCCCATCATACCCATGAAATGACTAAAAATCAATACAAACCATAAAGCCCAGGGCTAGTGGGATTGTAAGGAAACACAGTCACAAACAGCTGTAGAATGAAATAGTTTTCTCCTTTTGGGTGACACCTGGACATAAGGTATAAGGGTAATCAACTAGTCCCAATTCTTGGACACAAGCCCCGGGACAGAGAGCCCTCTGCACAATGATGGGTACAAAAGAGTTACCTAGAATCCCGAGAAGACAATGTGGAGACCCGGATGCTCAGCAGCATGACAAAGTAAACAATGCCTTGATGAAAACTGCAGCCAGTAACGAGGTCATTGTGAGATGAGTTCAGGCTGTGGAAAATACAGAGAGCAAGGAAGAGCAGGCAAAGGCTCACAGGACGCCCTAAATGACAGATGTCCCTGCCATCTCCATCCATCTCCATCAGAGGACAAGCGTTCCTGCAGAAAGGATGAGAATGTGCATTTTAGGAAAGGGTCCTTGTGCACCTGCGAACCCTTCGCCCAACCAAAGAACCAGAGCATTACTAATGACTTACACCCACCTCTTCCCCAAATCTTCCCTCCTCCCCCAAGAGGTGATTACCCTGAATTTCATCCTTGCTGTCAAAAAATTTGCAAAGCATACCTAGACCACATCTAGCTTTGCTTGCTTTGGAACTTTATAAAAAGCTCAAACACCCAACTGGTTTTTAGACTCCTCATGTTAATAGATGGAGCTGAGGCTTATTCATTTTCACTGCTGTATTTCACTATGCAAATATATCACAATTGAGGCCTTCTGCTCTTGATGGGCATTTGAGCTCTTTCTCCCCACGCCCTTATTTGAAATGCGTCATGGACATTTTTGTTCTTATGAATGAAAAATAGATTCTACCCAGTCAGTATTGTTAAACTCTCAAGTTTTGTCATCAAATCAGTGTAAAGATCTTATGGATTTGCTTTCCCCTCATTGTTATTGAGCTTGAGCATCTCTTTCTATGATTGCAGGTCACATGAACTTCCTCTTCTTGAAATGCCTGTTCATGGCTCTTGCCCATTTTACTATCATCATAGTCTTATTGATTTGTGGAGGTTCTTGACATAGGCTGATCTCCATCCTTATTAGTTTGTGTGTATACAAGTAGCTTCTCCCAGTTGTGGCTTTTTTTTTTTCTACTTTTAAGATTTTCCCTTTTAAGTAGTGGGATTCATTTTTAAATTTTATTGTTAGCATAAAATAGCATGTCCTGATTCAGAAAATCCTTCCGCATCCAAAAGTCAGAAAAACATTCCTCTGTATTTTCTACTGAAAGTATTCGTCTTGAAACTTAAGTCCTTAATAGAATTGGAAATTTTATGACATGAAGAATCCAATTTTAATTATTTTTATTTTATTTTAATTATCTATATCTGTCATTCCACTTTTTCTGTTTCATATGTTGAAACTTTGCCAAGATATATTTCTGGGATTTCCATTTAGCTGTTCCTCAGTTAATACTACATTGTCTGTAATTAATATAACTATAACAAATTTGTATAATTTTTATAATTTTGATAATGATGGTAAATAATTCCTCTTTAACATTCTTTAGAATTCGCTTAGGTATTA